TACTATCGTTGTCGCAGAGATCCCAACCGATTGGCCCTGGTGGAAGTTGGTCGATCAGTAGCCCATAACGTTTGAACACATCGCGAGTTCGCATCGACAGAAAACGAGATAGCCCGAAGGTTAACCGTCTCCGAATCCTGTTAGTATTACAAGCTTTCAGGCGAACTAAGGCTCTTTCGTCGTCAAAATTCCCCGGGCAAAAAGCTTCGTGCGACCAGTGGTTGGCGATAGCAACGATGAGTCGATTGGTGCCTTTGCCAAAACCACCATTCGTTGAAAAAGCAGCAGTAAGGAGGGTAGATCTAGACGGGTTGAAAGTTCCCGCATAGTGATTTGTGTATGTGCGTGTATTGCGATATTCAGCGGATGACTAAGGAGTCGTCAGTCTTATGAGCGGGACACAAAATGCACACGCGCTCACGCGTATTGGGGGGGGCATACATTGTTTTTTCTTTCAAAAAACACACCGAACAATACGATGGGCAATCAGGTATCGAGCCGCGGAAACTCGGCTCAGCGGACTCTACCCAACGAGTGCAGTCGACGAGTGCCGCGGTACGGTAGCAACCCGCTTTGAAAGCAGCAGCAGCAACGCCGTCCTTCGCAGCCATTCGGAAAACCAAACCACACCACGCATCTCGGGGATTCGGCCTACAAGGGGCTAAGGGACGCGAAACCTCACCGAAACCAGCTCTGTGCTCATGCAAACGTACCCCCGACAACACAAGCAACTTGGAAACGCCATACCAACCTTCACCGCCCCGCGCAGTAGTGTTTCAGTACCACCACCCTTTCCACTCCATTCCTCTCCTTCCCTACCTCCTTAGCCCCTTCCGTAGCCCTCTGCCCACCTGTCTTGGGGTACCATCCTTTCCCTTCCATTCTTCTCCTTTCCTCCCCCCTCATCGCTTCCTTGGCCCTGTTGTCAAATGATTCTCAGTGGCACCACCCTTTCCATCCCATTCTTGTCCTTCCCCCCATCCATCCTTACCCCTTTTCTCACCTGCATATTTGACCACCCACAAATCCCATTCCACCCCCCCCCCCCCCCCNCTCGCGGCGCAGTCCTTGGCCAGTGCCTTGTAAAACACCCCCGTTGCCACGGCCGCCACGTCCTTCCCCACGTCCGAGGCCGGCTGATACATCTGAAACTCCTTGTCCCCCCCGTACAGCCCGCCCTCCTCTCGCCCTCGGCTAACCGCACCGGCGCCAACGTCCGCCGGGGACTGCGCCATGAGAAAGACTCTCCCTCCTATACCGTCCAGGCAGTCCACCGTCGCGCGCAGCGCCGCCCCGGACGCGCAGGCAGAAGCCGGGGTCGTTTGTCGACCGTTGTTCGATACAAGATCTAGCCAAGGGACGGGAGGGGCCCGGATCAGATAAGGGGCTACGGAAACTCTTTCCTTGCTTTGCTTCGCTTTGTAAACGCGAACGGGAGCTCCAACAGCCGGGGGGATGGGATCGGTGTAGTGAACGGAAACTGCTGTCGGTTCATGTACGGGATAAAATAACGGGGAACAAATCAAATCTAGGCCTGCTGTTGTGTGCCCCCCCCCCCCCCCCCCCCCCCCCCCCCCCCCCCCCCCCCCCCCCCCCCCCCCCCCCCCNCCCCCCCCCCCCCCCGAAGCAGGCCAAGCTAATACGCTTGACCCCTTTGACACCAAACTAATTGCCCGTTCCACGACGCACCGGGAATGGCCTGGAACAGTCTCGGGAGACTACTCCGGCAGGAATTGAGCGGCAGGATCCATTGGGCAGCCGGCAACGGGGCATACGGTTCCTGTGCGCGAACGAGAGCGGGACGGGGACGGGTCGAGATACAAGACATACTGTATCGCTTCAGTGGTGCCACTACAGACAGAATAGAAGGGGTTTTGACTCCTATTCGAGCCAAACTTCTCAGTCAGAAGGCACCGGCTACAATATTTGCTCACATCCTGCCGACGACGCGCCAAGCGTGATAATGGCGATGCAGATACAGCAGGCTTCCCAAGCAGTTCGGTGCCAACTCCAGTATCCCGACAAAAACAATAAATTAAACCATCAACTAAAATTGGATACAGACCCATTCCCCTTCGCCTCCACCTGTCCTGTTCTCCACCTGTCCTGTGAAGGGGCCAAGACCACCGCCCAGCCTCCTACAGGGATGCGAGCGTCCATGTCCCATGCAGCTGCGGCCTTTGTTGACGGTTCGGCGTGTACAACCGGCCCAACCTCCAAGACAAACCGTCGACAAGCCGCCTTTCTCTCTCCTACACGCAACACATGAAACCGACACTTCTCTCGACCAACCAATCATACACGACCTTGCAAACTGCCGCAATGGTTCTTTCTGTGTCCTTCTGTATTCCAAGCACACCACCCGTCAACACTCGGCTCCGCTGCTGCTGCACCCACCCCCTACCCACCCCCACCCACCTCCGTGTCCGGTGCCACCGCCATCTGCGAAACGTTCCCCTCCTCGTCGACCCTGTACACCTGTAGATACTTGTCGAAGGTGATTACACCCACCCTGGCCCTCTCCCCTCCCGGCACCGAGTGGAGCGACGCCTCTATAGCCGCCAGACACGCCGCAGAGAAGCCCGTCTCGAGCGCCCTCGGGGATACGTCCACGCAGAACACGAAGATGGGCTGCTGCTCTGGGCGCAAGCTGTACACCGCCTGTGCCGAGCAGCGGAACAGACAAAAGTGGGAGGAGGACATGCCAAGACAAGACGTTCGCGGACAAAATAGCAAGATGAAAGGGGGAAGGGGGGCTCCATGGAAGGTGGCGTACTTATGTTTTGCATGCCTTTGTGGTTAGACCATTGACCACCGTGGGGGGGGGGGGGGGG